AGGAAAAGGCCATTGCTGCCATCAAATCAAATCACACTTATTGTCACATCACGTTTACACAGGCATGAAGGTGAGTGAAAATCTTAGGTGCGAAGCCCCCTTATAGTGTTTAAATACAAAAAATATGAGAAAAAAAGAAAAAATATATATATATAGACTTTAGACTCTAAATATATACACATATAATGTACACCATTATTGCACTATTTCCAATGTACAGTTTTGCAGAGTAATATAAGTTATGAGATAAAAAGCTATATGTACAGTTTTACACATTTCCAACACCATACACACACACACACACACACACACACACACACACACACACACACACACACACATACGGCAACACTGTGCAGTGAAGAGCTAAATGAGTACATTAAAAGACAGAAGAAGCTTTTGCTTCAATATGAAAGGCCTCTTATATTTTTGTTATATTGTATTTCCCCCCTCAGGGCCCACTTTGAACATTTCTGTAGTTTTATATATTAAAACAGGCATAATTCATTTTTACATGATCCCTTAGAATTAAACAGGCTGTTTTGGTTACTGTGCCTGTAAGACTGATGTATATAAATGAGCTCTTTTCTGATTGGCTGCCTCATTCAAAAAGCAGACTGGGCTGAAACAGCTTGAGTGGGTGGGGCTAAACTGCTGTAGGGATATCTGAATAGGCAGAGTGTTTGTTTTTGGTGACATCACAAAAACAGTGAATTCAAAACGGGCTGTTTATCCCTTTAACAGTGCGTAAATACAACTACTTATTTCAAAACATAGTTTTTTCCATGAAATGGGCCCATTTTAAGTAGCTCAAATGTTAATTGCACTGATATTATTTTTAATAGACATCAGTAGTGAATGCACTGCCTGTAGAATGAGCAAACTGTGGATGAGAGACTTGCGCTGAAGCACAGCCTCCAGGTGTACGCAAACCTCAGACTAACAGGGAGGATAATTCTCAAGCTTGTAAACTGATAGAATAAAACAAGTGACTGCAACTCGCAAAGAAAGTCTAAGTGCAGCTGAAGCCCATTAGCATATTTATGGATGTCCCTGGGCTCCGGCTTATTCATTTCAATATTTAAATACGCTGATAAGAAGCTCAGGTAAAGTAGCAGAGCGCTGGGCTTTGCTCTGCAGTAAAAACCCTGCAGCGAATATCCACACCGTGAATATTCATTAGCTTCATCAAAACCCGCTTCTGCGTCTACACCGCGTCAGACTGGCCAGCGGTACAGGCTGGTTTACTTTCTCAAAGCTATTTGGTTTCATAAACAGCACCGTAGCCTCTCGGTAGCGCCACCGATTTTATTTAAATACAACCTGACAACTTGAGAAATTACTGATTCCATAATGCAAACAATGACCGTACTTATTCAGGCTGCATTACCTGTGGAAACTCAGGATGGACCTGAATATTTGATTCGACTATTCGGATATTTCAGGCATCGGGGAATTAGATTAGTAGGTAAAAATAAAATAATCCTCCTTTACAGTAAAATAAAGCTCTGCTGATCGTTCAACACAGATTAACAATAAATGGTCTTAAACTCTGGAGTTAATGTAGAACTGCTGATTCACCCTTTAACCCTGAAGATCAGCGCAGACTGCTGGTCACCATAGCAACACAGACAACAGTCTCGCCCAGCTAGTAGCTAACGAAACTGCAAAGAGAGAGATTTAAGACGAACCTTGATAATTTGGAGACGAATGGACTTATTTGTGTTTATAATCACTCCAGCTGGTTTCCTGATACGTTTAATCTGCAGAGAAACTGACAAACACTGAAAAGTCCAGAGGCAAGTCAGTTTGTCATTCGCCAGCTTCTTGTTCGAATTCTCATGTTCCACCTTAAATGGTGCAGCAGTTATATTCTGGCGCCTCAGGCACCATTTAAGGAGGAACGAGAAAATTCATACAAGACGCTGGCGAATGAGAAGCGACTTCAGCCTCATAAAAAGTCAAACGTTGAGAGACATTTTACAAGAAACTGTTCTACTTTTGTGGAAAAGTTTCCTGCTGGAGATGTGAGAAAAGCAGCTGTAGCTGAGCTAAAGATTAAAGCAGAGCAAAGAAAGTCTGTGTTTTCATTTATATTGTAATTTTAGTGCTTTTGGGTTGGGTTGCGACCCCTGGGACATTCATTTGTTGTGTAGGTATTTTAATTTTGGGATTTGGATATCTTTTTTTTTAAAGCTAAATGTAGGCTAATAAAGAGTGAACTGCAAAATACTGTAATGTGTTGAGGTTCTCATGAGAAACTTAGACGACTGGAGGTTTCGGCCCATAACGCTGCCTTGTTTTTAATTTCCTGAAAACAAAGAAGAAAAAACACAGCCTCTCCAGTGCTACTGAGCGCTGATTGGTTGGCAAGTGGAGCAGCTCATTGGCTGTTCACGCTCACTGACGTCACGGACGTACATGAAGCGCCATTCAAACCAGTAATAATGAGCGAAACAGCAGATTTATCAACCACTCTTGCTTTAATGAGCTGAAGCTG